GCGCCCAGGGGCCCCGAGGCCTCCTCGCAGTTGCGTTTCTCTGAGGGTCGTCCTCCCTTTCTTGATTTTTTTTTTCCTTTAATTTACCAGGGTGTTGTTACAAACTTTGAAATTTTCCGAATGAGGGAGAAACAGGTGCCTGTCGACGTGGTCGAGATGAAAGGTGAGCTCCTCGGGGCCCTCCCGTGGCCGCGTCATCCCTGTGTGCCGTGCGCCCCTGGCCTGGGGGCCTGGGGGAGTGTCGTGCCCCCGGAGCGCGGGGACACAGCTCTCGCTCCCGGCGGGCGGCTGTGTGCCGGGCGACCGAACACGTCTCTGGCCTCCGAGCCCCGTCACCTCCTCACACGGGCGCTCGGCCCAGGCGGCTTGTTTGGGCTCAGGACCGCCATGCCGAGGCCAAGGCCCCGCCCTGGGGGGCAGCCTTAGCCTGCAAGTTCCGTTCTGCTGGAGGGGGGAGGGGAAAGAGCAGGGGCGCTAGAGAGGTGCGGGGGTGGCCAGCCCTTCTCGGGCCTGCGAGCTCTCGGTCAGCGCCATGGCCGGTGTGGGGGAGGGCCAGTCAGCGCAGGGGGGGCGAGTGTGTGCGGGCCCCACACACAGCCCAGGGCGGGTGGCCCGCTGGGGCCTCGGCTGAGGGCGCCCCTGCCGTGGGCCCGGGGTGGAGTGGCTGCCGTGGGCCCCGGGCGCCCGGCTCCTCCACCTGCACCGTGTGCCCTTGAGCGGACGGGTGGGGGGCTGACCGGGACCACTCTTCCGGCTGCAGAGACCATCATCGCCTTCGCCTGGGAGCCGAACGGGAGCAAGTTCGCGGTGCTGCACGGGGAGGCCCCACGCATATCCGTGTCCTTCTACCACGTGAAGAGCAACGGGAAGATCGAGCTCATCAGTGGGTGGCCTCACCTGCCGTGTGTCTCGGGGGGGGGGGGGCTGGTGGGCATGGGGGGGCCGGCTGGGGTAGCTGCGGGAAGGCGGGACCATCGTGGCTCACGTGGTTCACGTGGGCACATCCCAGCCACGGAGAGGTGGGCCCCTCGGCACCTCCATGGCGGTGTCTGCACTGGAGCTTCCTGCCCTGGGGGTGGAGCTGCCGCCTGGGGGACGGACAACCCCCCGGTCCTCACCCTCTCTCAGCCCTGCCTGGGAGGAGCCAGGCTGTCCCCCGGGCAGACGGGGCTCCGGTTCCATGTGCTCAGTGCTCAGCGCACAGTAGGTCCTTGGCGAGCGCTGTGATGCAGAGAGAACGGTGGCTCGTGGCTTCACAGAATGCTTTCACGCGCCCCAGCTCACAGCTCTGGGGGTGCCCCAGGGTCGGGGCGGCTGCCCTGAGACGGTCCTGGGGGGCCGAGCTCTGGCCCCCCCGAGCTCAGCAGCACGCGTGGAGGACCAGACTGGCCGTCCCTCCCGAAACCTCCCAGGCTGTGCCCCCGCGGTGATACCGTGACGAGCAGGTGCCGCGTGCACGTCTTGCCGTGCCCTCCGTGAGGCCGCGGGGGCGGCCTCTGCTCCCAGGGCTGCCGCCCCTCCTGCACAGGGAGTTGGCCCCCGGTGCAGACCCCCGGGAATGGGCCTCCATGGAAACAGAGCCCCTCTGTAGACACTCACATCTCCGAGCAAATCGCGCTGCACGTGAGACGCCCCTCAGTGGGGGCTGCAGTCCCAGACCCCCGTCCCCATGCTCAGCGGGGGCTGTTCCTTCCGTGTGCGTCTGTGGCCCGCCCCAGAGCCTGCCCCGCGCCGCTGACCGCTGCCCCCTCCCTCCCAGAGGCCTTCGACAAGCAGCAGGCGAACACCATCTTCTGGAGCCCGCAGGGCCAGTTCGTGGTGCTGGCCGGCCTCCGCAGGTGGGTGTCTGCCGTCCCGCCGCGGACCCCGGGCCCGGGCCTGTGTCCCCCGCGCTGGGTTCCGAGCGGTGACGCTGCCGAGTCCTCCAGAGCCTGAGTGTCCTCTGGCGGAGGGAGGGTCACCCCGGGTCCGGTTGAGGGGACAGACGTGTGGTAGGAGCGCCGTGCTCCCCGGACGGGCGCCGGGACCAGGAGGGGGAGAGCAGGCACTTGCCAGGCTGGCCGGCAGGCCGGGGAGGCAGGCAGGACCGCCTCCGGCAAGCCCCTGTGCCAGGGCAGCCCCCGTCTTAAAGTGGACGGTGCCCCCAGGGCCCATCAGACAGGGCGAGCCTCCCTGGGGTGGGGGGCGAGACCTCAGGGGCGCAGACGCAGCTTCCCCCCCCCCCTGCCCCCCAATGGCCCCATGCGGCCACCTGGTGTGGAACTCGTGCCCCTCGAGACGGCGCCTCCCCTCCCCCGTCCTCCTCTCGTTCCCACGCCGACAGCGGGGGGTGGGGTCGGTCAGCGGGGCTCCCGGTGAGGCCCGCCCGTCTGTGTCCGCAGCATGAACGGCGCCCTGGCGTTCGTGGACGCCTCGGACTGCACCGTCATGAACATCGCGGAGCACTACATGGCGTCCGACGTGGAGTGGGACCCGACCGGCCGCTACGTCGTCACCTCCGTGTCCTGGTGGAGCCACAAGGTGCGGCCCGGCCCCCCCCCCCCCCCCAGCTGGTCCCGGGAGGCCTGGTGCCGCTGCCACCACAGTTCAGGGACCCCCATGCCCGGCCCGGGCCACCTCAGGACAGACGCTCCCCGGCGCGAGGGGCCTGCGTCCCTGTCACACTGAGGGGACGTGCTGCGTGGCACTGGCCCGGGGGGAGACCAGAACTCGAAACCTGGAGACCAGTGTGCTCTCCACTGCGTGCGTGTCGGTGACCCCAGCCTCCAGTGCTGGTGGCCTGATACCCTGAGGCTCGGCCTCCTGTGTGTGTCGGGGCCGCTCCTGAGTAGGGCCGCGGGCGTCCCGGCCGCTGCAGCCAAGTGCACGCTGCTGCCCGTCTGCGGCCCGCCCTGCGGTTCCGAACGCACCCAGGCTGTGCCGTGCGCCGGCACGGGGTGCGAGTGGAGGGGAGCGCGTCCTGGTCTGCTCCCATGGTCCCAGCCCGGTCCCTCCTCAAGCGAGAAGGCCAGAGTCGGGGACGGGGTCCGTCCAGCAGAGCGAGGTTGCGGGGACACGCTTGCCAACAACGTCTCGAGTCAAACCGGCGCGCTGTGGCCAGGACCAGCGGGCCCTGCCTGCGTCTGGGCCTCAGGGAGGCCTCCCGCGGCCGGACGAGCCCGGTCCGAGACGAGGCCACAGCGGGGGGGAGGAGGGCACTGCCTCCTCCTCCTCCGGGGACTTCTTGCCCCAGACGGTGTCCGCCGAGTGCAGCTGGGTGGGGTGGCCGTGCTGGTTTCCGCTGTGGCCCAGAGCAGGTCCGGGGCCCCCAGGGCGGGTCTCCTGGGTTGACGGCCACCCCCCGCTGGCTACGGCTGGGTGAAGGCAGGGTCTTCGGGTGTTTCTGTGGTCCCGTTACCGCCGCAGGCCACGGGTCCCTGGTGCGGGCTGGGGCCAGGGCTTGAGTGCCGCCTGCGACCTCCGTCCCTTGCAGGTGGACAACGCCTACTGGCTGTGGACCTTCCAGGGGCGCCTCCTGCAGAAGAACAGCAAGGACCGCTTCTGCCAGCTGCTGTGGCGGCCCCGGCCCCCGACGCTGCTCAGCCAGGACCAGATCAAGGTCTGCCCCCCGGCTCCCCGCCCCCCAGCTTACGGTGGCAACAGGGTGCTGACGAGCGAGCAGTGGGAGGGTGACATCTTGGTGGCCTTTGACGAGCTGCTCGAACAGCAGCAGCCGGATGGAAGAGAGCGGTTTTGGGGCAGGCCCCGAGGTCTCGGGGGTCTCGGGTCACGCTGGCCCCGTTCTGGTGGCTCGTGTGCGTGGGGTTGGCGGGACTGGAGGACCCGCCCCTGGGGGCGACGCGTCCGGGGCTGCCCTCGCGGGGCTGGCCTGTGCGCACCACCAGTCCTGAGCGGCTGCTCTCGGTTTCAGCAAATCAGGAAAGACCTGAAGAAGTACTCGAAGATCTTTGAGCAGAAGGACCGTCTGAGCCAGTCCAAAGCCTCGAAGGTCAGCCTTGTCTCCGCCTGGCGGGGGGGGGCGCCAGAGGGCCCGCTGCCACCCCTGGCAGAGAGGGGCCGGCGCCCGGCTGGGGCGGAGGGCGTGCCCGGTGGGGCCACCCACTGTCTGGTCGCAGAGCGTGCTCCAGCATGGAGGGGCTGCAGGGTCGGGCCTGGAACTCTCCGGGCCCATCAGACACAGGCGTTGGGGGCGGGGCGGCGAGGGGAGGGAGGGTCCTCCCGCTGCCCCGTGTGGGGTGGCCTCTGACACGGGCGTGCGTGTGGGCTCAGCGACACAGTGAGGGTGGGAGTGCGACGTTGCCGCCCCCGCCCCGTGCCAGGAACTGGTGGAGCGGAGGCGGACCATGATGGAGGACTTCCGGAAGTACCGGCAGGCGGCCCAGGAGCGGCACCTGCAGCAGAAGGGCGAGCGCCTGGAGCTGCGAGGAGGTAGCGTGTGGCCGCGGGGGCTTCGGGGCACGTGCGTGACGGCGCCCTGCTCCTTCCGTGTCCGCGTGTGGGGGTCCCGGGGCCGTCAGGCGTCGCGTGCTGCGTGACGGCTCTCCGCCGAGCAAAGGCACGCCCTGCACCGCCCACCCTCGGGCCTCAGGCCTGGTGGCCCGGCCTGCGTGGGGGTGTCCCCGGGGCACCAGTGCCACCCCGCCGCCCGCTGGAGCCCCTCCTGCCTTTCCAGGCGTGGACACGGACGAGCTGGACAGCAACGTGGAGGACTGGGAGGAGGAGACCATCGAGTTCTTCGTCACCGAGGAAGTCATCCCTCTCGGCAGCCAGGAGTGACCGAGAGCACTGTGGTGAGGGGCAGTGGGTGCCCCGCGGCTGACCCGCACGCCGGAGCGCGGCTCGTTTGGGGCGGGGCGAGGAAGCCCAGGGTCGTGTGCTCGCGGTCACGGCGTCTGTCTCGTGTGCGCGCTGGACGTCCAGGGCAGGACTGGCCCCGCCTCACCGCCAGGCTCGGGTGGGGGAGCAGGGCAGGGCTGAGAAGGCCAGAGCCTCCAGTCCCCATGGCCGGGGCTCCGGCGCTGCCCCGGTGGCAGGCCAGGGCCCAGAGGGGTCGCTCCTCGGGGCTGGCGCGGAGGGGTCACTGGGTGTCCGGGCAGGATGAGGGACTCCTGTCGTCCTCGGCTGTGGTGCTCTGCCGTTCAGACCGAGCGGCCCGGGGCTGCCTGCACCGCCGGGAGGGGGAGGTCTGGGGCTGCCTGCCCGTGGTGCCCGAGGTGTGCCGGGCTGGGTTCCGAGTGCCAGACAGACAGCCGTGTTCCCTCGTTGCAGCGTCACCGAGTGCCAGAGCCGGGGCGCCCCTGCAGACAGCCCGTGCCAGCCTGAGTGCCCGTGCTCCCCGTCCCGTGCCGACCGCCCGGGAGGCCCCGTCTCCAGTCGTGCCTTCACCCCGCGTCCCGGGGCGGTGTCCAGGCGCTGCTTGCAGTCTCTCGTTTGGTTTCCCCGTCACGCCATCAGCGTTTGTCACCGCGACGCTGGCGTGGTGCCTGCCGCGCTGCCGAGGAGGCGTCTCTCCACTGCGCGGCCTCCCTGTGGGCCCTGCTGTCCTGTGGGCGCCCGCCAGGGAGCAGCGCACCGGCGGTGTCCCGGCCCCCGGCCCGCGGGCGGCGCAGGTGCTCAGGGGCCGGACGTGGAAATAAAAGCAGACCTGAGTGAACACGCTGTCTGTCCTCCTCGCGTCTGTAGACACGGGTGGCGGCCAGGGTTGGGTGCCTTCCTCCCGGCCCCCACAGGGCTGGTCTCGGTGGGGCTTCTCCGCGCACACACAGGGCCGGTGTGACACCCAGGGGCCCCCTCATGGTGGTGTCCCGCCTGTCCTGCTGTGCTCCGGAAGGAACACACGGTCCAGTCCGTCCAGAAACGGCTCCTCCGGGTTTCCGTGCCTGCCACGGCGCCCGGTGAGAGCCGCTCTCCGCCGTTCCTGGGGCGTGCAGCCGGAGGCCTGCGGGGTCCTCTGCCTTCAGCTGCTGCCTTGCCCTTTGAGTACTCGACTCGGCTCCGCGGACCGGGACCGGGGGGTGGACAAAGCCATGGGCGCTCAGCCCGTTTTCCGAGATCTGCCGCCCTCCGCTGCCGTGTCAGTGCCGCCCCCCCACCAGCCTGGCCTCCTGGCACCGGGGCTCGGCCCCCACAGGCAGGACCGGCCCTGGGGCTCGCTGGGGTGGGCGCACGCCTCCGACAGCGTCTGCGCGCGGACGACCGGCTGTCCTGGGAGGGCCCCTGCCCCTGCCCTCAGGCTGCAGCCACTGCTGTGGGGGCTGTGGGCCACGGGCCCACCCCCCACGGCCCTCTGGCTCCTGGTCCCCAGAGACCAAGACTGTGTGTGTCCCCTGAGCATCTGTGGGGAGGGCTGGCCTGTCCCGGCCAGTGAGCACACAGTTGGGGCCACTCTCCTCTGCAGTTCCGTGGGCTCGGTGTGCCGAGACCCGGCGCTGCCGGCCTGGTGCCCGTGAACAGGCGGGCGCGGGCCCCCAGCAGCGAGCGTCCCCAGACCCACGTCCCACACACGAATCGGCGCCTGCTAGTTGTGACTTGGGACACCCCGTGTGAGCAGGAGACTCCTGAGGCGCTGTCAGCCCGAGCTCCCCGCCGCTGCAGAAACCGGCCTCCCGGGCTGGCCCTCCTCGGGGCATGTGGGGCCCGTGGGGGCGGGACGGATGCTGGACGCTGGGCCTCGGCCGCCTGTGCAGGTGCGAGCCAGCCCTGGCCCACCGAGCCGCCAGCTGTGTGGTCCCAGGCACCCGGCCGGTGGGCCTTGAGGTGCTCTGGGCGCCCGAGCAGCCCCAGCCTGAGGTCGCCCCTCCGCCCCCCAGTTGGGATCTCAGACCAGACTTCGGGGACCCGGCTGTGACACGTGTCCAAGTGTTGCCAGGACCCTGCAAGTCGCCCACCCTTGCGGGGTGTCAAGAAGTCCGTGAGCTCGGGCCCTGGCAGGCCAGTGGCGTGGGCAAGGGGGTGGCGGCCACGCCCTCGTCCTCACAACCGAAAGTCATTGCAAGGTCACTTTAGAGATTTGGGCAAGTGATCACAGCTGCAAATGTTTCCTTGCACGTCAGCTGGTGGCACCTGCACCCCGCCCCGTGGTGAAAAGCCCCGTGGCTGTGGCCGGGGTGGATCTTAGGCAGGCTCACCTGTGGAGCAGGTGAGGCGGTGGTAGAGGAGCTCTGGGGTTGCCATGGTGTCAGATTAGCACGGAGACACACAGGCTGGACCGAGTCTGGGGCTGTGACTCCGTGCCAGGTGTGCGGCCAGCCCGAGCCCACCTGGGCCGGGCCCCCAGCTGCCTGGGGCTCACCCAGCGCACGCACAGCACCTGGGCAGGGCCGGCGCCCCTGAGGCGGTTAGGGACCAGCGGGGCTCCTGGGGCCGCTGACATCAGTGGGGCGGGGCTGCTGCCGGCCAGGCAGGCCTCCGTCGGCTGGCTGGCTGGCTGGCTGGCTGGCTGGCGGGCAGAGACCCTGGAGCAGTGACCAGGCCCTCCCACCCCACCGCCAGCCCCGCCCCAGCCCGGGGCAGCCCTGCCGGGGAAGGAGATGGAGCCCAGAGACCAGCAGCTCGTGGTGAGGGTCCCTCTGGCTGCGTGGTGGCCCCCAGCAGGGCTCTGTGTCCCCGAGGCCGCCCTCCCTGCTCTGAGCTGCCTCCCGACCCACCGCCCACCACCCCTCCGTGCCCAGCTTCTGTGCAGGACCCTCCCCGCTTTCCTCGGAAGTAGTAACCCCTTCCCAGACACCTCCTTCACCCCTGCCACCTGACCCTCCCCAGGCGACTCGGGCCTGGACCAGGACCCTGGTGGGGTGGGGTGGGGTGGGGTAGGGTGGGCCCTGCCACCTGGCCCCATCTGGGCCCTGCGAGGCCTGACCGGACCAGCTCCTAGGGAGCAGCTGTCTGCGTTTCTCAGAAGGGGTCCCTAGGGGGTCCCTCGGGGGGCAGGGGGATGGCCCGGGCCTGTGTGTCTTCTCTGAAGACAGTGGGGCTGGGGGGGGGACACTCCGCAGCTGGCGGGCCCTGGGCAAGCCAGTGCCCAGGCTCCCTGGCCGAGACTACCCCGGTGACGGCCAGCCACGGCGCCCTGAGCGTCCTGCGGGGCGTGAGCAGGCTCACACTGCTGGTTCCGGGGGGGAAGGCCTGGGGGGTGGGGGCTTCGCTGGCCTTCGGCTCTCTGGGGGGCGCGGGGGGGGGGGGCGAGGCCCGGATGCAGCCGCAGGTGTCTTCACAGGTGGCGCTTCGGATCCGCCCGCTCAGCGAGGCCGAGCTGGAGCAGGGAGCCGCCGTCGTGGCCCACAAAGTGGGCGACCAGGTGAGGGAGGGCGCACAGGGCGTGGCCACGGAGCTCAGACCCAGCCGTCCCGGGCGTGCGAGTGTCACCTGCCACACTCTCTCCCTCGCTCACACTCCCTCGCTCACACTCGCTCGCTCGAGCCCGTCCACCCACCCGCTCACTCACCCACTGACGCGTGCGTCCGTGCCTCCGGTCTCTCGCTCGCTCACCCGCTGCAGCAGTGTCCGGGCCGCACTCACCGCCGGGGAGGCCGGGGCCGGCCCCAGCTCGCTCCCCAGCGGGCGTGCGGTGTCGGCAGCACGGAGGAGGGTGAGGCGGCCAGGGACGGCCTCTCTGATGAGAGATCTTCGCGGAGCCGGGGAGAGGGCGGTGTGGGCCCCTCGCGGGAGCCAGTGGAGCGCGCCCCGGCGCCGCCAGCAGGCCTGGTGACGGCAGCGGGGTCGCGGGCCGAGCGTCGGGGACCTGCCCCTGCCGCGCTGCCCAGGACCCTCGGAGCTGAGCGCTCCGTGCGGTTAGGGAATGGCGGTGGTCGCTTGCCAGAATGACTGCCAAATCCGGGGCGAAACGCACCTCTGTCAGGGGAACTGGATCCCTTGTTGGTCGTGAGAGAGGCGCGGGGGCCCCTCACAGCTGCGGGCCGAGGACCCAGGACCCCGGACGCCGGCCCAGGTCTGCGGAGAGGGACCGGTGGGCTGTGGCGCGTCCGTGCGTCTCAGCGAGGGGACCAGCTTCTCGGGGGGCGGGGGGGGAGGAGAGCCGGGAGGCGGGCGGGAGCCTGGAGCTGACCCACTGGCGGCCAGCAGCCAGGCAGGGACGCCCCGTGTGGCAGGAAGGACGGGAAGAAGGGAGTGTCCTCTTGTGTGACTCTCAAGGCGCATCGGACGGCTCGCTGGGGTCGGCAGTCTCACCCGTCCCCCCGCGGGCACTGGCCGGCCTCCCCGGGAGCCCCGAGTCCCCCGGTGACTTCCGGTCTGGTCCGGTCCGATGCTGGAGGCTCCGGCTGCACCCACGTGCGGGTCAAAATGCCCTCTTTGCCGCACACCTCGGAGGTGACCAACTCACGCCGAAGGAAGTGTTGTCTGGGCGGCAGCCTGCCGGCCCGGGCTTGTGCCCAGGGCCCCTCCACGGCACATGTTGCCATGGGGAGCCCTCCACCCCCAGGCCCGCGCCACCCCCCACCCCCACCCCGGGCTGGGCTGGGCCCCGGGCTGACCCGGCCGACTCCTCCTGCAGCAGAGGCCTGGCCCCGGGGAGCACGTGCCGGGGGAGCTGTCGCGGCCCTCCGCCCCTTGGTCCAGGGACTCAGCCGGCACCGCGGGAAGTTTTAAAACACGCAGCCTCTGACTGGCCAGGGGCAGTGACCTCTTGTGCCTTCGACTGGCCAGTGGACAAATGACAGTGGCCACTGGGCGCGAGTGCCCGGTCGGGAACGGAGAATCCGTAGGCCACGTACCGCAGCCGCGTCTGACTGCGTGTGCAGAGCAAGGCGGCGTCCGATTGCCCAGGTCTTTGCGCCAGAATTCCTCCTGGACGCAGACAGGAGCCCGAGGTTTTAGGGTTTGTTTGTTTGTTTGTATGCTTGTTTGTTTGTAGAGGGGAAGCAAGGCAGAGAGAGGGAGACACGGACTGGTTGCCTCCCGGGGACCCAGCCTGCAGCCCAGGCTCCTGCCCTGACCGGGGATCGAACCGACAACCTTTCACTTTGTGGGATGCCGCCCAGCCTCCTGAGCCTCCCCCTTCAGGGGGACAGCACCTGATTTTTTTAACAGGATTTTTATTAATTTGCTTAGAGAAATAGGAAGGAAGGGAAAGAAACAGCAGTGTGTGGTTGCTTCTCTCCGCACACCCCCCCCAACTGGGGACCTGGCCTGCAGCCCAGGCAGGTGCCCTGACAGGGAGTGGAACCCCTTGGTTCTCAGGCCAGCTCTCAGTCCACTGAGCCACACCAGCCAGGGCGGCCCCTGCTTTTTTAAGGAGTCACTTTAGAGAAAGGGGTAGCTATCTACTATTATTATTTCTCGGAAATCAATCAAAATTACACTTGCTTTTTGTCGGATTGGCAGAAAGTCCACTTCTGGTGTGCTGCAGAATGTCAGTGGTTCGTCTCTGGGTGCCAGGAGATGGAAAGGGTTGGGAGAACCGTGAGGAGAAGAAAGTTGGCACGCAGCACGGAAAAGTGCGGGCCAGGAGCCAGGGGCGGCCCAGGGGCTGCCCCGGGCCCGCCTCCCTCCCGGGAACCCCAGGCCGCCCTCACCTCCCAGGCCGCCCTCACCCCCTGGGCCCTGTTTCCAAAGCCGTGGACCGAGGAGGGGGCAGGCCGTGGTCAGATGGTGGGGCTCTGGTCTGTGGTCGTGCCCCTAACCCTAACACCCTGGGGTTCCTCCCCAGCGCCCGGCCAGGCGGGGCCTCGGAGTCACCCCTCAGCCCTGAGTAAACAGCCTGGCTGCTCACCACCCTGCCCCCCGCAGCCCCCTGGGGGAGGCGCCTTTGCACCTCGCCTGTGGTCCCCCGAGGTCCCCGCTCCATAATGACGCGTTTACGTCAGAGAGGAGAGGCCCCAGGGAACGCAGAGCTCAGGGGGTCCCTCTCCAGGTACCCGTGCACCCCACGGCTCCACTCCCCCTTCCCGCTGCGGGGTGCAGCCCCTGAGCCAGGAGACAACGCAGTCCGTGGGGGTGGACACGACATGCTCAGGGTCACAGAGGGGAGAGCACAGGGGCCCGGCGGCCGGCCCAGCCCTTCCCGGTGTGCGCAGCCCCTGCCCCTCCTGTGGGGCCCGCCCACCCTGGTTCCAGGCGGCCCCTCCCTCCGCCGGCCCCTCCGCCGACCCCTCCCACCCCCTGCTCCCAGACGGTGGTGCTCATGGACCCCGGCGAGGACCCCGAGGACACGCTGCGCACACACCGGTCCCGGGAGAAGACCTTCACCTTCGACACTGTTTTCGACCAGCACGCCTCCCAGGTACGCCCCCGCCCCTGCCCCTCCACTGGGCCAGGCCCGCTCCGAGTGTCCCGGCCCTGCCCTTGAGAGGGGCTGCACGGCCGTGGACCCCGGCCCACCCCGGGCTGTGAGAGTCTGACGCCAGAGGGAGCAGCCCCGGCGTTGGCGTCTGCCCTCCCCGGCGCAGCTGCTGCCTCTGCCTCCCGTGGGTGAGCTGTGTGTCCAGCCCGGGCCATCGGGACAGCCACAGGGGCTGGAGAGCAGGACCCGGGGTGGGCGCCAGGGAAGGCAGGGGAAAGGGGGACGGCCACTTCGATTCGGTCCAGCCAAACCTGCACACCCTCCCACACCAGCCCCGGGGGGGGGTCCTTTCTTGAATACCTCTAGGGACGGGGAGCTCACTACTGACACACTCCTGTCGCTACCCACTGCTGCCTCAGTTAAATCCTGCTGGTGGTCGCGTGGCTTCCGGGTCCTGGCTTTGTCCCATGACGGCGGGCCCTGATGCTCCTGCAGGTTTCCGGCCCACTGTGGTCTCCCAGCCCCCTGCGTTCTGTCTGGCCCCTCCCAGTTCTCCCAGGGGCCCTGGAAAGGGCTCACAGGGGTCTGGTATCAGGGTGTCAGGCCTCAGGGTGTGAGTGTCACACCTGCTCTCCTGCGGTCCCCCTCGCAGCCCCCCTTTAGGGCCAGCCTTGTCTCACCCCGAGAGGCTGGGCACAGGCAAGGCCTCAGGGTGGCGCAGACATGGGGCCACGTCCCTCCGTGGGGCCCACCCTGCCCAACGGCCACGCTGAGTCCAAGCCGCCCCCCCACCCAGGTCCCTGTCCCCGCCCAGAGGGCACAGCGGTGGTCAGTTCCCTCCAGACGGCCGGGCGCCCGGCTCCGGCTGGGCTGTCCCCTGGACGGTGTCCTTGTGTCTGTCCGCAGGGAGACGTGTACCGTGCCACCGCCCAGCACCTTGTGGCCGGCGTCCTGTCAGGGTACAATGCCACGGTGTTCGCCTACGGCCCCTCAGGTACTGCCGGGGCAGCGTCCCGGGGAGGGACTCTCCCCACGGCCCGGAGCCCCCGCCTGCACGCTGCCCCCCACCCCCCTCCGCCCCCGGTGGCCCCTTTCCCGCAGCAGCCCGCCCGGGAAGGCAGGGAGCACGGCCCCCTCCGACGAGAACACTGGGCCTCAGAGAGGGACGGCGGCTTCCCCAAGGTCACACAGCCGGGGGCAGCAGAGGCTCGCAGGGCTACGCTGTCTCTGAAAACTGGGACCACTGCAGGTCAGGTCGGGGCTGGACGGGCCCTGACTCCTCACTGGGCCAAGGGGCAAACGGAGGCCCCTCCGTCAACAAGCGTTCCTGAGCACCTACTGTGTGCCAGGCTCTCACAAGAGAGACGAGCAGCCGGGTCCTCACCTGTCAGCGCACAGGGAAGGGGCCGAGGGGCCCCAGCCCTCTCGAAAGGTGACAGGGTGACAGGGTCACCTGACAGCTTGGACGCCGTGAGGAGAGTTTGCAGGGAGGACAGTGGTCGTATGCCCCCCCCACCAACACCCTCTGCACCTCCTCTTTGCATCTGCCCAGGGCTCCTCCCCCGGGCGGCCCGGAGGCTGGCCAGCTCTTCCCCTTGTTTCCCAGAGGGAAAGCGAGCGTGTCGGAGCAGCGGGCGGGCGCGGTCTCGGGCACGGGTGCGTCCCGGGGGCTCTGAGCCCCGCTCAGGCGTCCACACGGCGGGTGTCCACGGCCCCACAGGTGCGGGGAAGACCCACACGATGCTGGGTGTGGACGCGGAGCCCGGCATCTACCTGCGGACCCTGACCGACCTCTTCCAGGCCATCGAGGGGACGCGCGAGGACGCGGACTACAGCGTGTCCATGTCCTACCTGGAGGTGAGCCCGCCGCCCGCCTCAGGGGCCTCACCTGTGGGGCGGGGCCACGGCCGTCGCAGGCCTCGGGCTCCGAGCCGCCAAGACTCTGCAGGCGCAGGGCCCAGACATGTGTGCGCCCTGCACCGACACGTGTGCACCCACACTGACATGTGTGCACCCACACCGACACGTGGGCACCCCACACTGACGTGTGTGCCCTGCACTGACATGTGTGCACCCACACTGACATGTGTGCACCCACACCGACACGTGTGCACCCCACACTGACATGTGGGCACCCCACACTGACGTGTGTGCACCCTGCACTGACATGTGTGCACCCCACACTGACATGTGTGCACCCACACCAACACGTGTGCACCCCACACTGACACGGGGGCACCCCACACGACACGTGTACGCCCTACACCGATGAGTGTGCTCCCTGCACCGACACATATGTACCCCACACTGACATGTGTGCACCCACACCGACACGTGCACCCACATGACACACGTGTGCCCCACACCAACACGTGTGCACCTGTACTAATGAGTGTGCGCCCCACACCGACGCGGCTGCTCCTCCCAGCCTCTCTGCGCCGTCCCAGGTTTACAACGAAGTCCTCCGGGACCTCCTGAACCCGTCCTCAGGGTTCCTGGACCTGCGGGAAGATGCCAGGGGCGCTGTCCAGATCGCGGGCCTCACAGAGGTGTCCACCTCCAACGCCCAGGAGGTGAGGGTTGGGGGCGGCCATGCCCGCCGGAACCCACAGCGTGCCCCTCACTCGGTCAGCCCACGGCAGAGCCCGGCCCACCGCCCTGCAGCTGGTTCTCGGCCCGGGGAGGGCACGCACCGGCCCCCGGCCTGCGCTCCGGGCGGCCCTCGCTGGCCGCTGGCCGATCCAGGCCAGAACCCTTCTCTGGGCCGCACCCCCCGCGGTCCCGGCCAACCCCAGTCAGCCTCCAGCCTGACCCCCGCTGGCCTTGCCCGCCCTGAGTGCTGCTTCTGCCCTGGGGGCCAGCTGAGCAGGGGGCCCCTCTGCCCGCCTCTGTCTGTGTCTTCCCTCCGCCGCCAGCCTCTCCCGGGGCCACCCACAGCCCCACGGCCTGGGGGCGCCCCCCACTTGCCCAGAAACCCCCTAGGGCTCCTCCTCGCCCCAGAACCAGCAGACTCCTCAGTGTCCCACCCCCGAGGCCCGTGCACCCCAGCTGCGCTGGTGGCTGGCATCCGGTGGGCTGCGCATCCTCCCTGTGGGGTTGGGGGGGGTCAGGCCATGAGCCACCCCGCCGATTCCGTGCTGAGGACTGGACCTGTCTTCCTTCACCCCTGCTCTGTATGTAGTCCTAGCATGGTATGCACACAGTAGGTGCTCAGCAGCCTCTTGCTCATGGTTGGGTTCCAGCCCACCTGCCACTCCACACGCCTGCCCGGAGGTCTCCGCCCCCCGCTCGGTGGGGGAGAGATGGGCAGTCCATCGGCGATGTCTGCCGTGGCAGAGGATGGGAGGGGCTCAGCCACCGTCCACGCCTCAGTCCATGAGTCACTTTGTGCCGCAAACCAACGCTTCCTCTGGGGCAGGCCCTGCCCCCGCTGTCCCACCACGGGGACGGCCCACGAGGTGCCCCGAGGAGCTCGGGGCCCACCTCCCTCTCTTTCCGGGCGATTCCAGAGGGGGCGCGCAGCCCCTCGGGCCCTGACCGCCCATACTCGCCACCTCTGTCCCCAGATCATGCAGCTCCTCACTAGAGGCAACCGGCAGCGCACGCAGGAGCCCACGGCCACCAACCGGACGTCCTCGCGCTCCCACGCCGTGCTGCAGGTCACCGTGCGCCAGCAGAGCCGCGGCCCCGACGCCGCGGGGGAGGCGTGCGTCGGCCGGCTCTTCATGGTGGACCTGGCGGGCTCGGAGCGGGCGGCCCAGGTGCCCCTTTGGTCCCTCGCCGTGTCCTCTGTCCCTCCCATGGGTCCTGAGCAGGACCCTGCCCCCCGCCTGGTCCTCCGCCTGGTCCTCCGCCCGCCCCGTGGGGTCTGTGAGCAGGACCCTGTCCCCCGCCTGGTCCCCCGCCTCACCCTCCGCCCGGGGGTCTGTGAGCAGGACCCTGTCCCCCGCCTGGTCCTCCGCCTGGTCCTCCGCCCGCCCCGTGGGGTCTGTGAGTAAGACCCTGTCCCCCGCCTGGTCCCCCGCCTCACCCTCCGCCCGGGGGTCTGTGAGCAGGACCCTGTCCCCCGCCTGGTCCTCCGCCCGCCCCGTGGGGTCTGTGAGCAGGACCCTGTCCCCCGCCTGGTCCCCCGCCTCACCCTCCGCCCGGGGGTCTGTGAGCAGGACCCTGTCCCCCACCTGGTCCTCCGCCCGCCCCGTAGGGTCTGTGAGCAGGACCCTGTCCGGCAGTGTGTTCAGCACCTAGAACAGCGCCTGCCCCGCGAGGCGCCCGCTCAGCTCACCGCCTGCTGGCCGTGTGAACTAGTCCTCAGCCAGCACTGCGTGGGGAGCCCGCGGGGCCCTGTTCGCAGAAGGCTCCCGCGTGGCAGGCCCTCCGGGGTCAGAGACCCGGACCCGCCCTCGGGCCCTGGAGCCTCAGGGAATCGGGGGAGACAGGCTGTGAGCAGTGACAGCACGGTGGGGGCGGGGGGGCTGCGCTTTGAGGTTCAGGGTCCGCACGGAGACTGTGACAGCCCAGAAGAGGGCGGCGGCGGTGGAGGCGCCTCAGGGCTGAGCCTGAGGGTCACAGGAGCTCAGTGGAGTGCGAGGGCAAGCGTGCCAGGGGGAGGGGACAGTGAACAGTGCCTGCACGGCCTGGCTGCTGGGGGGACGGGGTCCGCTTTGCAAGGCCTGACCCTGCCGGCCCTGAGCCCCTGCTGGCCCAAGCCCCTGACACGCCCACCCCGTGCCACGCCTGTCGCCGGGACTGGGGGTTGCACCGACTGCCCGTTACCGGCTGCCCTTGCAAGCCTGAGCTTTCCGTGCGGGCAGGACTCAGCCCAGGGCCAGGGGCAGAGATGCTGCTGTGCTGAGGTGGCGCCAGAGAAGGTCATCAGTGATATCTCTTTCCTGCCCCTCTGGGGCGCCAGGAGCTTAGCAGTCGTAACCCAGCCCATGCCCGACGCGGTGTAAGGCAGGTGGCACGGGGTCTCAGGGCCCCCACCCCTCCAGTGGCTGGGTAGTGCTCCCCGAGGGGACTCTGTCCTTGACGTCGCCGGCCCCGGGTTTCCAGGACGGTCAGTGCACGCGGGGCCAGGGCCCCCAGGGGCACGGGTTCTGGCCCCCAGCCCTCAGCCCCCTCCCCGGGGACCCGCCGTGGGGAGAGGGTGGGCAGCAAAGCCCACCTCCCCGCCAGCCCGGCCTCTCCCCACTCAGACCCAGAACCGCGGCAAAAGGCTGCAGGAGGGCGGCCACATCAACCGCTCGCTGCTGGCGCTGGGCAACTGCATCGCCGCGCTCAGCGAGAGGGGCGGCGGCCGTGCCCAGTTCGTGAACTTCCGCGACAGCAAGCTCACTCGCCTCCTGAAGGTGCGAGCTGCGGGCCGGCCGGGTGTGTGTGTGCGTGTGTGTTTGTGTGTGTGTGTGTGCTCACACGTTTGTGCGTGCGTGGGTGTGCGCCGTGTGCTGCTGCCGAGGCTGACTGCATCTTTCAGGACTTGGCTGCTGGGGTCGAGGCCCTGACCAGGGTCGGGGGACCCTCCCAGGAACCCCCGGAGGCAGGAAACCCCGTAGAAACCACCTCTAGCCCCTGCCTGTCCCCCTGGCCCAGCCCCGACACCGACCCCTCTGAGTGTGGCACAGCCTGTGCCCAGGGCAGGTGAGGGCCTGTCCCGACACCCCCAGCCCATGCCGCCCCCGGAGCAGGACGCCCTGGGAGGGAACAGCCGCACGGTGATGGTCGCCCACATCAGCCCGGCCAGCACGCACTTCGAGGAGTCGCGGAGCACCCTGCTGTACGCGCACAGGGCCAGGAACATCAAGACCAGGGTGAGCCGCCGCCACCTCCTGCTCGCTCCTGCTATCTCGGGCTCCCACCCCTCCCTCTGGGGGCTCTGGTGGGGGCCGTCCTTCCTCATCCCTCTCTGCCTCGGGGGCTCCAGGCGTGCCTTGGCCGGGGCCCTGCGGGGACCGTACCTACACCCCCAGCTCTGTGCGTGCTCACAGGGCCTGCTCTTCCCTCTGTGTCTGGCTCCTCCTCTCCAACGGGGTCGCTGGCCTTGGACTCAGGGCCCTCCCGCACCCCTGGTCCTGCACCCCTGGTCCCTGGTCCAGGTTGCCCTCACCCCTTTGTCATCTGCAAAGATGCTTGCCCATGAACGGCACATTTGCAGGGCTCACGGCGCCGGCACGTGGACTTACCCCCAGCCTGGCAGGGTCCTAGGTCGCCCCGGGTCACAGCCTGGGCAGCTGGCGTGCGGAGAGAGAAAGCGTCACCAGCTTCCACAGGGGAGTCCTCCCACACCGCTGTGCTGGTCTGTCCACGCTGTCCCCCCGCCCCCGCCCCAGCCTTCAGCGAGATGGTGCACGCGGCCCGCTTGGTTCCCGGCGCCCGAGGGCCGCTGTGATGGGTGCAGTTGTCAGTGTCACCTGTCCCCAAACACGAGGGGACCCTCCCTGGTGTCCGGCTCTGAGTGAGGCGCTATGACAACATGAGACGGAGGGTGGGTTTCCCCCTCACCCAGACCCTGCGCTTGGCCACGGGGCGCGGGCAGGCAGAAGGCCTGGACTCGAGAGGACACAGGGACTGTCCCCAGCTGCGGGACGTGCCCCGAGGTGGGCCCGCAGGGCGCTGCAGGGACGCACAGCGGAGCAGGCCGGGCCTGGGGCGTCTCTGCTGGGGACCTGGCTCAGGTCGGGGAGTGGAGCCCCGAGCTGTGCAGAGAGCAGACTGTGGGCGACTGCACCCATCGCCCCCGTCTGCGGGAGCGAAAGGCTCCCAGAGGCGCAGCGCTGGGGACGCCCCCGCGCTGCCCGTCAGAGGGGACGGGACAAGCCGCTCTGCAGCGGTCAGAGGGGGGCAGACCCGCCTGTGCCGACGGCCACCTCCAGGACTCCTCGTCGCTCCGGGAGGCCGCTTGGGGACGAGTGGCCGCCTCTGAGATAGTTCGCGTAAAACCCAGTGCTGGGCCTGTGGTCCCACACGCGTGTGTGCAGCTCCACACAGGAGGCGTGAGGGGCTCACGGCCACACAGCGGCAGCGTGTTCCCTGGGGAGCTTTCTGCAAACCCGGTGGGTTGTTTTTACTGTATTTTTTAAAGATTTTCATTTTAATTTATTTTTTTAGACGGGGGAAAGGAGGGAGAAAGAGAGGGAGAGAAACATCCATGTGTGGTTGCCTCTCGTGCGCCCCCTACTGGAGACCTGGCCTGCAACCCAGGCACGTGCCCTGACTGGGAATCGAACCTGCAACCCTTTGGTTTGGCTCTCAATCCACTGGCCAGCGCTCAATCCACTGAGCTCCACCAGCCAGAGCTGTTTCCACTTTTTTTTTGCTGTGGCAAAACACGCAGGACATGAAATCCACGGTTTTAACCACGTCCAGAGTGTCAGCTTTAGGCACAGTCACGCCGTCCTGCCGCCGGCACCAGCGACCGCTCCAGAACTTCCCATCTCCCCACACTGAGACGCTGCCCCACTAGACGCCCGCGCCCCTCCGCCAGCCCCTGGTGCCCCACCTCCTTCTGTCTGTGAACCTGACCCTCCAGGCCTGGGCTCGCCAGGGCGTGTCCTCCCGTGTCTGTCTCCTGTCCCACCGCCGTGCAGTGTCCTCGGGGTCCGTCCATGTTGGACCTGTCAGAACCTCCTTCTCTTTGAGGCCAAGCTGCACTGGTTTGGATTTTTGCCACAGGACAGTCTGGGTGTTTTTGGCGCAAACGTGCAGCTGTCGGGACGTTCCCTTCGCCAGGCAGCCCGCCGGCCCTGACCCCGGGCGTGTCCTGCCCCGCCAGGTCAAGCGCAACCTGCTGAACGTGTCCTGCCACGGCGACCAGCGCACGGGCGTCATCTCCGACCTGCGCAGGCAGATCGAGCACCTCAAGTCCAAGGTGGAGAGGCAGGACCCGGGGAAGAGGAGCGAGCCCGGGGCCCGGGACCCGCAGGGTAGGGACCCCGGTGCGCAGACCTGGGGCCGCGCTGGCTTGGGGCGGGGTTCGTGCGAGGAGCGGAAGGTGCCCCTGCGGTGGGAAGTGAGGCGGGGAGGCCGCTGACGGGGGGCCGGGTGCGTTCTGAGCGCGAGGGGAGCGCTGGCCCCGTGCGGAGAGCCGCCGGGAGATGCCCAGTCTGCAGTGGGGTGAGACCGCCGGCAGGGCTGTGCCTGTTTGGTCGGTGACGGTGACACACACGCGTGGAGGGCGGTCCTCGGCGTGGCGGCTTCGCCTGGAGAACGTGGCAGGTGCTGAGGGAGGAGCCCAGGGGTGACCTCGGGGTCAGCTGTAGCCGCCAGGCCAAGGAGGGCCTGAGTCACTCAATGGGCCTGCTCTGGGGGATCCAGACCGCCCCCCCGGGGACCCGCGCTCAGGCCTCCCCCAGAACCCCTCCCACTCTCCGTCCGGGTGTCTGGCTATCCGGCGGTGCGTCCCAGACACCCTGCCCTTCGTGCCTGCAAACGTCAGCGTAATCCCCACAAAATTCCCCGCGGAAACGTCAGGAGTCCTCTCCGCGGCGGAGGCACGGGAGCGCCGACCTGCTCGCGCCCTCGCCTGCCCTCTGGCGGTCAGATCCGCACGCCCACCCTGTGCTGAGCCTCTGAGCCGACTGCAGTGGGTTTTGTCTGAGCAGAATCCCCCCAAGCCCCACGCACCCAACGTGGTGGGCACGTCTCCTGAGTCTCTTCTGCTCTCCGGGCCTCCCCGCCCTCTTGTTCCGGTTTCCCTGTGATTCCCGCGGGAGTCGCGCGTCCCGTGGGGTTTCTTACCTCCCGCTGAGCTGAGCTGAGCGTCCCTCTGCGCTCCGTGCTTCCTGTGACAGGGTGGTTGAGTCTAAAGCCTCGAGATGGGGTTTTTAAGTATTCTTACAAAGATGGAGTTGAGAGCACACCAGTCCATCCATCCACCCACCATGCATCCACCAATCCACCCACCCACCCACCCATCCATCCATCCACACAATCATCCATCCATCCATCCACCCATCCATCCATCCAATCATCACCCCCCTGGCCCCACCACCCCTCCGTCACCTACCCACCCACACACGTGGATGGAGCGCCTCCTTGGGCCCGACCTAGTTTGGTGGCAATCATGGCTCAGGTGGCCTTGCTCCCGGGACAGCTGGCTCTCTGTGGCCCCCAGCCACGACGCCCACCCAGGACACGGAGGACGACAGCCGCCTGCAGATGAGCAGGATCCGGGCCCAGCTCGTGGGGGCCTTCGAGGAGCAGCTGGAGATGCGGCGCAGCCTGCTGGAGCTGGAGAACGCCAGCGTGGACCTGCACGTCGCCGTGTCCCGCCACCTGCTGGCCATCGCGGAGTGAGTGTGCCGCCCGCCGGCCCGGCCCCGCACACCCGAAGGGGCAGGGCAGCCGGGAAGGGCCAGTGGGGCTGCCGGCGGGAGCTCCTCCTTTTGCTACTGTCCAGCCTCCCCCTACTGCCTGCGGGTCCCCACGGGGAACTCTGTTTTTTAATTTTTACTTGAGAGAGAGAGAGAGGAAGGGAGAAAGATGTAGAAGCGTTGATTTGCTGCACTTATGTATGCATTTTTCAGTTGCTGCTTGTGTGTGTGCCCTGACTGGGGATCGAACCTGCGACCTTGGTGTATCGGGCTGATGCTCCAACCAACCGAGCTACCTGGCCAGGGCTTCCCATAGGGCACTTTGGCCAAGGGCCCCCCTCTTCCCAGCTGACCCGTGGCCCACTCCCTCCCGTGCCTTCCGCCCTGCAGCAAGGCTGGAGCAGGTGGAGGATGCCCCCCACCCCCAGCCCACCCCACCCCACCACTCTGGTCTCTTTCTCACAGGCCGGGTGCAGGGCCAGCCTCTCGGGCCCGCCTCAGCCATGTGACCGGAGTGGACACCGAGGCTCAGAGGGGCAGGGTCAGCCCACAGTTGTGTGTCCACTGGCCAGGGCTCTCTCGACTGCCCCGCAGTTGCTCCCTGTCCACCCTTCTGTGAACAGGCTGACCCCGGGCAGGGGACTGGCCGTGTGGCTGGTCACCCCAACAGGGACGTGTGGGGGGTGGGGGCCTCGTGAACAACGACACGGGGTCACCACACTGTCCTGGACGAACCGCACGTGCGGCTTTCCGTCCCTTCTGCCCCCGCCCCTCCTCCTCCTCCTCCTCTCCGGGCATTTGCCAAATCCCACAGGACGCCTGCACCCCAGGGACTCCACATGAAAGCCGCTGTCCCCACCCCTGGAGCCCCGCCTTTCCAGCCCGCGCCCTGTGGTTCAGATGCACCCGGGCGCTGTGGCAGGCTCTGCCCTGAGACCACAGGGCCCGGGGGTGCTGTCGTCACCCACCCATGTTTCACAGCCGAGGGGCCGACGGGGCTCAGGGAGGGGGCCTTGGGGGCACCGGGTGGGAGGGGCCGGGCTGGCTGCAGCGTCCTCGTCACTTGGTGATCCTGTGTGTATCTTTGCCGCTTCCTTATTTTTTCCAGTTTTTCTTCATAACTTCTGTTTTTTACGGACGTGGAAGAAATCAGATAGCAGACCCCATTCCGCCCCATTTTCATGCCCACGCCTGCGAGTCGACCACAGGGGCCCACGGGGGCTCCCAGCCCGGGCGCGAGGCTTGCACTCTGACCCATGACCCCTGACCCCTGTCACGGCTGCAGCTGGGAGCGGGAGAGGATGCACCCCCATGCCCAGGATGAGTCCCCCGAGAGGGACGAGCGGCAGGAGGCGGAGGGGGCCGACGCGGACGGGGACGGGGAGGAGGACGCGCCCGCAGAGCCGCACGAGGTGACCCTGGCCAGAGAGGAGGTCAGCCTGCTGCTGGCCGAGCAGCGGAAGACCGTGGCCCTGCAGGTGGGGAGAAGGGCTGGGCGGGCCCCCGTGGCTCGGTGGTGCCGAGTCACCAGCATTCGCTGAGCGTTCCCGGGCACGGCCCCTTCGCTGTACCCCCACGGTGGGGGGCCACGTGCAGCCCCTCCATGGGCCGGAAAACTGGGGTTCAGAGAGGTCGGAGAGGTTGTCCCCAACCCCCAGAGAGGTGACGGGTCCGAGGGCAAAGCCACGCCCCTGTGTGTCAGAGCCACGGCCACTTCAGGGGCTGCAGGGGCAGCAGGGCAGGAGTGGCCGTGGGGCATCCCCCAGACCCTGCTGCCTCTGCGTGTGGACGGCAGCCAGCTCCTCGCTGCCGTCCTCAGAGTGTGTTACGCACAGTCCCTGAGAGGAGCGTGTGCACCAGAGCCGGTCAGACAGCTGGGGCGGTGGGGGGGGACCCAGGACGGAGCCTTTCCATGGGAAGGGGCAGGTGAGGCAGGTGAGCGGGCTCAGGGGTGGCTGTTTGGTGCATTCCGGCGGGCTCCGGGGCACAGGTCGGTCCCTCGCTGTCTGGTAGTGGCCCTGGGTGACGAGGGCTGGTGGCCAGGGGCCAGAGTGTGAGAGCCCCCAGGGGAGGGTGGGGCGTGGGCTCCGGGCTGGGGGTCTGCACCTGAAAGGCGTGCTCCTGGGGGAGGGGGAGGTCTCTGTCTGTAGGACTCGGCCAGCCCTGGGCGGTCAGGCCCTCAGGTCAGCGGGGCCCGGGTGTCAGTCAGCACATGGCACACAGAACAGAAAAGGCAGGGCTAACGCAGGGGCGTGGCCACGCGTCCTCAGAGCCCAGCACCTGTGTGTTTTCGTGGGTGTGGCGAGCAGGTGCCGCAGCGGAGACCCCGGCGTGTGCCTGAGTGTGCCGTCTCTCCGCCAGGCGGGGCTGGAGCAGCGCCTGGCCAGCGCCCAGAGCAAGGCTGCGCAGCTGGAGCGGCTGCTGCCCGCCCGGGCCCTCAGCGAGGACCAGCAGGAGGCGCTGCGGCTGCTGTGCCGGGCCCAGGAGCTGGAGCTGGAGAACGCGGGGCTGCAGGCCGGCCTCCTGCGCCGGGACAGCCTGCTGTGCCAGAAGGACCGGCTCCTCCGGCGCTGCCACCAGCACCGGCGGCTGTGCGAGCGCATCATCCGGGACCAGCGGCGGCTCCTTCGGGGTGAGGCCGGCTTGGCTCTCTGCTCTGCTCTCCTCGCTCACCCGTGCGTCCCCCCCACCGCCCCTTCGCCAGGGCTCAGGGCCCCACGATGGGTCGAGCCTCCTGCGGGGGGCTGCCTGTGTTCCCTGCAGCCCGTGCTCCCAGGCCCTGCCACCCGCGGGTCCCTCCTCCGCTCCACTCCGTGAGCCTGTGCAGGCGGCCGCCCCCCCTTCCTGCCGTCTCCGGGCTGCTGCCCCGGCTTCTCTTGTTTTAACTTTCTGTTCTCACGGAAACATGTCCGCGTGTGTGCGGGCATGCCTGTGCACGCCTGTGCATGTGTCTGTGTGCATGCACATGCCTGTGCGAGCACACGTGCACATGTGTGCATGTCTCTGTGTGCACGTGCTCATGCGTGTATGGGTGTGCAACCATGTCTGCGTGTCTGTGCATGCATGTCTGTGCATGTGAAGGGGGGAGCAGTCACCTTCCACAGTGGGGACCCCCCCCTTGGTAACAAGCGGCTGTGTCCCCGACCTGCCCCCCGGCCCCTGCAGACGGCGGCCTGCCGGTGCCCACAGCGCTGGCCGAGAACTACGGCCTGTACTCTCGGGAGCGGGACGAGGGCTCGCTGGACCGCCTGCTGCGGCTGCACTCGGCCATGGCCAGCTCCCTGCGGGTGAGTGCCCGGGGCGCGAGCGCAGTGCCGGCTCAGCCCGGCCCCACCCACCCACCCACCCAGGGGTGCCACTGCTGGGCCACGGGGGGATTCTGTTGGACCTGCGGCCTTGAGGTGCTCCGATAGCAGACACTTCCCTGAGTCCCAGTTTTGCTTTAGGGCCGAGGCCCGCCTGCGGCCCTAGCACTCGCTCAGGCTCACAGGCCTCCTTGTTGCCACAGTGGGCGTTCGGTGGGGCGAGCGAACGGGCTGCTGCTCGGCCTCCCCGCGGGGATCTTCCTTCGGGGGGTGGTGGCCGGGAGGGACGGGACCTCCCTGTGGCCTGTCGGGGACCTCGGCTGGACACAGCCACCTGCCCGTGGCCCTGGCCCCTGCCGCCTCCCTCAGCAACTCTGTCCGGTCCCAGGACGGCTCTGTTGGGGCCGCGACTCCACCGCCACCGGAGGAGTCCAGCCGAGACCAGCTGGACGACTGGAGGGACCTCCCATGCGGTGGGCAGTTGGAGCTGCCGCCAGTGCTGCTGGACATGGACAGGTGAGCCGGCCCTGCCTCCTCTGCTCTTGGTTCCAGGTGAGACCGCCAGGGGCCCGGGGTGGGGCCAGGACTGGGGGCCTCGGGGTCCTCCTGTGGTGTGCGTGCCCCTCACAACACTGCAGAATCGGCAGGCCACGCCCCTCCGGGCCACACCCTCTCTGGGCCACGCCCACCAGCCCCTGACCAATGCCTGTTTCCTGTCTGCAGCGATGGCCACGTGTCCTCGAAAGCCACACCCTCGAAAAAGCCGGGAAAGCAGGGCGTCCTGGTCCCTCCGCCCGCCCTCCGCATCCTGCTCACGCCACCATCGCGGGAGGTGGGTGTGTGCGGGGTCAGGGGCCCTTTAGAGCTGGCCTCCTCGTGCACCACCTCCCTGGCCCTTGCCCCTGCCCCGTCCCCAAAGCAGTCCCCCCCACAAATGAACTACTTGGGTGGAGTCCCTGTCCCTGGGTCTGCTGCTGGGGCCCTGCGTGACCACCCGCCCCTGCTGCCACCCTGCAGAAGTCCGGCTCTCTGCGTGCGAGGAGCCGGGTCTCCAAGCTGTGCTCGCCAGTGGCTGGCCTGGAGCTGGACACCCCCAGGGCGGCGGCCGCCGCCCTCAAGGAGATGGCCTTGGGCACCAAGAGCATCGCCCTCATCGCGGCCACCCGGCGCTCCAAGGCGCAGCACCGAGAGGGGGCCAGCGGCCGCTCCTCCCTCCACCGTCCAGAGGAGGTAGCCCCGGGCCCCAGGGACCCATGCCCAGCAGACAGGAGGGGACCCCACGCCCGTGCGGGCCGGGGCGGCTCTGCAGAGAGGAAGGCCAGCAGGAAGCGGGCGCCCCTCCTTCTCACCTGGGGCACGCAGCCAGTGGGTGGTCATGGGCCTGGGCCCTTCGGTCCCCGGACTCCAGGTGGACAGCAGAGAGGGAAGGGCAGGCGCAGCAGGGGCACGGGGGTGGGGGTCCCCGGTGCTGGGAGCTGGGAGGGACCCCCGCCCACACTGCACATCGCCTGAGCCACGCGGGCCCTGGTGGGGTCCGGTAGTGATGGGGTTTGGTGGGACTGGTCTTCCTTAGCGCCGTCTCAGACATTATCCGGGGCCTGCGCTGACTTTGTCTCCGAACGCCAGAAAGCTGTGGCATTCCCCTGGTTCTAAAGCGCATCCTCCGCTGACAGTATTGCGTGTGGGCCGAGGGCTTCCACGTTGGCACGGGCGCACAGACGCTCATCTAGCAGCACCCGGGGGGCAACCGGCCACGCACGATCCCCTCCGGGGCCGCTTTGTGGTCTTCTGTTCCCTGAGGGTGGCCACCTCGGCACCCCCTCGGCTGTGATGGTCGCGCATGATGTCTGCATCCCAAGACGGACCACGCTTTCGCTCGAGCCGTTGTCTCGGGGTGTCGGACAGTGGCGACCTGGGCGAAGGTCTCGACAGCGTTTCAGCAAAGCTCGGAGAGCTCCAGCAGAGTGTCCTGTTGATTGCTTCGTGGGGGAGGGTTCCTGGGGGCTATATCACTTTGGGGGGTTCCTTCTCCCTGGGCCCTGGACTGAGGGTGAGTGGGCAGGCTTGTCCCTGGTGGGTGGGGGGGCGCTGCAGTCCGCTGGGGGCGCTGAGGTGTCTGCGCGTCAGACGGAAGTTCGCTGCTGACTGCTCTGCAGGAGCAGAGCTGCGGCGGCGGCGGTCGGGGCTCTCCAGAGAAAGGGGATGAGAGGGAGGGGCGACGGAGAGAGGTGTATTGTGAGCCGTCGGCCCCTGCGGCGTCGGGGGCTGGCAGACCCCGCTCAGCAGGCCGGAGCCGCGGGGGCACTGGCGTTCCGGTCCCACTCAGTCCAGCGGCGGAAAAGGCCAGCCTCTTGTCTCGGGGCAGCCCGGGCTGCAGGAGTCTCTCCGGCCCACAGGGGGGTCGGCCTTTCTGCTCTCCTCTGGCCTTCAGCGGATCGGGTGTGGCCCACCCGTTTCAGGGGGCAGTCTGCTGCCCCCAGTCTGTGTATTTAAATGTTACTGGTCCCAGTGGGGGGCGCTGTGGGGAGGAGAAATGGGGGGGGGCCAGGCAGCCCTCCTCACTGGGGGTGGCAGGAGAGCGTCTGCGGTGGTCCTGCCCCTCGTGGTCCCTGAGCCGCCCCACGTCCCCGCAGTGGTCCGCACACAGTGGGCGTCTAAGCATTGCAGGGTGCGGCTGGACGTTTTACTTCTTCCCACCCGCTCCCCACACCCTGCCTGCTGTGTGACTTTTTCCCCTGCAGGTGGCAGAGAGGCCTCAGCCCCCGTCCCTGGAGCACTCGACCGAGAGCCAGACGCCCCCTGCACCCCAGCAGCTGCCCTTGGGGCGGGGCTTCCTCCCCGCGGTCCCCGCGGCCCCCAAGGTGAAACCTGGCCTCAGCCTCCACGCAGGTACGGGGCCCGAAAGAGAGAGCGGCACGCTGGCTTTGTGGGCATCGCTGGGACTCCCCCTCGCCCCCCAACCCCGGTCTCCAGCCTCGACCTTGGGAAGGCGTGACCAGTGCCTGCTCCTCATGTGGGTGGGTTTCGGGGTCTCCGGGCAGCGAGGGGGCCGAGGCCGCTGGCTCCCTGGGGAGTCGTGGGTCCAGGGTGCTTAGCTCCCGGCCTGCCCCCCCTGCCGGCCAGCAGGGGTTGGAATGATGACCACCCCGTGCCCTGCGGCGGGACGCCCACGTTCGGCCCGCGCTCTGGGCCGCCGCAGCCTCCTCCAGTGCAGCTTTGAGTCTGGCTCCTGCGCTGTGGTCGCTGCAAAAACGACCTGTGCGTGCTGTGGTGACTTAGGAAAACAGATAAAGTCACAAATGAGAGACACTCGTAGTTCCCCCCCCTTCAGAGACAGCGGCTGCACTGCCTGGTGACGCCCTCGCTAAGGGCGAGCAGCGTCGGGATCCCCTGCGCCTGGGACAGGGTGTCAGGTTGCTCCCCACGCGCCCCAGTGGCTGCAGCAGGTAGGCGGACGTCGGGGGTCCTGAGAGGGGACCCCAGACCGTCACTGACCCCAACAGAGGAGGACAGAAGAGGAGACCGAGCGTTTAGAAACGCATGTGGTACTTGGACGGCCCCACACCTGGGTCCGTGGCCTGCATTCTGCCCATCTTTTTTTTCTTTTTAGATTTTATTGATTTATTTCTAGAGAGAGGGGAAGGGAGGGAGAGAGAGAGGGAGAGAAACATCAATGCCTGGTTGCCTCTCAGGCGCCCCCTACTGGGGACCTGGCCCACAACCCAGGCATGTGCCCTGACTGGGAATCGAACTGGCGACCCTTTGGTTCCCAGGCCGGTGCTCAGTCCACTGAGCCGCACCAGCCAGGGCTGGTTTCTGCCTTTTTAAAAATTTTTCATTTAGCCTTTCCAGTGAAGATTTCTGTAACACTTATAAAAGTGTCCGTCCAACATCGACTGGAGAAAGCAGCCAGCCAGCCGGCCGGTTCTCGAACGGGCCTCTGTCACTGGCTGCGTGGTGAGAGCTCCCAGGCACTCGGCACCCGCTGCGCGCCGGGCGCTCTACAGGCGCCAGTCCCTTTGTCCTCACGAGAGCTCTGGGGGGGCCTCTGGGAGGCCCTGGTCTCCCAGGTCAGCCCTCCGCATCCTGTCCCGTCTGGAGAGGAGCCCCTTGGACTCCGTGTGTCTGGATGGTGGAGACGGGATGCACTTTACTGTGGCGTTTCCTTGCGAAACGCCCAGAAATTCCCAGCTGGACGGTGGGGGAGGGAAGCCCAGCCCCCGCAGAGCAGGCCGCTTCCTCCTGGTCTGGTCCCGGTCGCACCCCCGGGGGCTAAAAGTCACCAGCACGCTCCCCGCCGCCGCCTCCCAGGCCGGGCTAATGGCCCGACTGACGGGGCCAGGCTAACAGGAGAGACTCGGCGTTTAATACGTGCACTAGGGGACATCCCCATGAAAGTTCATTTCTGGACAGAGGAGGAAGCGGGGGAAAGGGCGTCGGACTTCAGAGGCGATCCGCGGGGCGTGGAGGAAGCGTGGAACACGAGGGCAGGAGCACGCCCCGCCCTGGGGACCCAGAAACTGGGTCAGCAGGCCCCGGGCTGCCCCCCTGTGGACCGCACTGCACCCCCGTCACCCCGAAGCAGTGTCCTGCGGTCTCCCTCCTGAAGCAGGTGTCTCCGCCTGAATCTCTTGCACAGGAGGGGGGCGGGTCAAAGGTTCTCCCTGAGTCTTGTTTCTTGATGAACAGCTCACCGTCGGGATCTCGAAAAGCAGCCCCGGGGGCGCAGAGCTCGGGTCCCCTGAACTTGACCCATGAACGTTCCACAGCCCTCTGATAACAGAGGGCGAGTCCCGGCCACTGCGGGACGGATGAGGAGCGAGTCCCTGGGGTCCGCTGGTGCCCTGTCCGGGGACAAGAGAAATCAGCCTTTTCCGATAAACAGGGGGGGCCGGCAGGGCCCCAGCAGGTGTCAGGAAAGGGCGAGTCCCGGTGACGGCTGAGGTCCCGTTCCCCACCCCCAGCCCGGGAGGCCCATGTCCTCCGGACCCCCGCCCCCCCCCCCCGGCACCTGTGGCCCCATTGCCTCTCCCCGTGAGCCAGCCCACAGCAAGCCCTGGGGCGGATCAGTGCACCACCGGGAAGTCTTTGGGGAACAGGAAGGAGGGAGGGAGGGCTGGTCCTGGGTCCCCGCTGGACCCTGAACCCACCCCTCTCGGGCCTGTTCCGGGCAGGACCTCTCGTCACTGTGCCTCCCTTTGCAGGGTTCTCCGGGAAGGGCTCTCACAGGTGCGGACTGGCCGTGGCCTTGGGCCAGGCGCTCCCGGAGCGGAGCAGGCTGTGTGACTGCCGGCGGTGCCCAGCGGTCAAACCGCGTGTCTTGTGGGGGGGGGAGGGGTGCACCGGCAGCGCGTGCGTGTCCCCCCTGCGGACAAGGTGGCCGGGCGGCCCGTGGACAGGCCTGCTGTCACCAGAGCAGCCGTGGCCGAGACGGGCTCAGGGGTGAAGCTCCGGGTGGGGGCGGTCAGGCCTGGAGGGTGGCCCAGGGCTCGGGCAGGACACCCGGCAGGGGGACGGGAGCCCACGTGGGTGCGACCCGAGTCTGGCGGGTGGGTGGCCAGGGGCCCCGCAGGTGACCCGGCGGGTCTCGGGGTCACTGGAGTCGGCCTTGCCCTCCGACCCACGTCTCCCGCCCCTTCTAGGGTCTGCGGACGGCGGAGGCCGGCGCCACAGCCCGCGGCCCCCCAGCAGCCCTCGCAAGCGCCAGGGTGGCAGCGCCAGGGGACCAAGGAGACCGAAGTGAAGGTGGCGGCGGCGGCAGAGCCGGGGAGACCAGAGATGCGGGTCCGAGCACTCGGGGCTCTGCCCTGAGGTTGGACTGGAGTGGCGGGGGCCCAGGCAGGGGCACTTTGGGGGACAGCCCTTTGCCCCAGAGGCTGCCTCAGCAGCCACCTTCAGCAGAAGGCCACCCACGGGGTGTCAGGACCCTTCCCGGGACCCCACTGAGGGCCGAGGGCTTCCATGGCTGAGTCCCGACTGGGGTGCTCGCCCCGAGGTCGCTGCACCTCCCCACTCCTCCTCCAGGGGGAGCTCTCTGTGCCTGGGACGCCGGCCATGGCCCCCTGAGCTCAGGCTCAGGCGGAGGAAGCTGTTGGGGACACCCGAGGGGGCAGGGGAGAGGGAGGGGGACTCACCTTAAGGAACGGCCCCCCCCCATGGTGACTGCCGGCGGGCAGGCCTGGCGTCTTTGGGGCAGCCGGTGAGGGGGGCCCCAGGGAAGAGCTGAAGCCACAGCCAGCCTGGAGTCTGCGGCCCCTGGAGGCAGGACCCTCTTCCTCACGGAGCGCGACCCTTTCGTCCTGCAGCCCTCACCTGAGGGACGCGGCCCCCGCACCCACACCCACACCCACACCCACGGGGGCGTGGGCTCTACTCAGCCTCTTCAGAACCGTAGCTTCTCATCAACGTCCCGCCTGGTGTTTGACCAGGGGCCCACGTTCCGTCGCCCAGACGAGTGGGGGTGTGAGGAGTTAGCTCTGCCGCCCCACGCGCCCCTGGTGGTCTGCGGAGCGACATGGGTCCCCGCCCCGTGTGATCCCAGGCCCCCGGTGAGCCGGCACCGGCACCGGGGGAAGACGAGTGTGTTCTCCTGTGCCCGTGACCTACCGTCCCCCAGGGCGCACGGCCGTCCTCTCAAGGCCCAGCTGCGCGGAGAGGGGCGCGTCGCTGACCGCGGAGCGCAGGACGGCGTGGCCAGGCCCGGGAGAAAGTTGGGGCTCCGACTGCGTTTGTGCGTCCTAAGCGCCCGTCATTTCTTTCTCCGACATGGCAGAAGGGGCGGGTTACGAAGGCCTGGCAGAGTCCGTGCGCACATACAGGCGTGTGTGTGCACATGTCTGTGTGTGTGCACACATGTCTGCGTGTGCACAGGCATGTGTGCACGGGTGTGGGCCTGTGTCCTGCCTTCCTGGGCGTGTCCCAGGAAGTGGCTGGGGCTGGCCGCAGTGGGGATGGGGTGGCGGAAAGAGGAGTGGGCGGGTCGGTACCCGTGTTTGAACTATTTGGGTGTGAGCTGGTGCAAAACGATCAGCCCCAGCCGTGTGGGTCAGCGGACTGAGGGCTGGTCTGTGAACCACGGGGTCGCCGGTTCGATTCCCAGTCAGGGCACATGCTTGTATTGCAAGCCAAGTCCCCAGTGGAGGCGTGTGCGAGAGGCAACCACACAATGACATTTCTCTCCCTCTGTCCCTCCCTTTCCTTCCCCTCTGTCTAAAAATAAATAAATAAAATCTTTAAAAAAAAGTTCATTATTTTTAAAAAGCAGCCCCAGTTCTATTATTTGCTGGTGCGGGCAGCTGTCCCAGATTCGCCAACGGAAAGAATGGAGGCTCACAACAGGATGTGTGATGTGATTTGGGGTCTGGATGAGGACACTCACGCAGATGTATACAAATGTGGTTGGCGCAGGGGTTTCTGGGAGGATGCCCAGGAGCGAGGGCGGAAGTGGTGCTGGGCTTTGAAGTCAAAGCCACGGCTGGGGGGGGGGCGGGCATGAGGAGGGGCTGGAGTCCCCCCTCGGAAAGGCTTCTCCCCACGGCTCTAGGGCGGAGGGGCCCCGGGTTGAAGTCCTTGGGGTTTCAGAGTCCCTTGCCGGGGCCGTGGGTGGGCCCGTGGGTGTGCACACTGGTGCTTTGTGTGTGAGTGTGTCTCTGTGTGGCATGTGCACGCCTGTCTGTACCAGTGCGCTTGTGTGCATCTGTGTGCACGCATGCGTGTGAATACCTGTGTCCCTATCTGTGAGGACACGCAGAGGGCCGGGTGAGGAGCAGGCCAGCCCCCGGGGGCCCCTTCCGGAAGGGAGAGAGCTGTGTTTTGCCTGTGAACTCAGCACAGCCGCCTTCCTGGAAGGTTGGCGCCAGGCCCAGAGGGTCATCTTCCTCTTCCTCTGCCAAATGCCTGTCCCTGGAACCTCAGCATGTGACTTGGTTTGGAAATCGAGTCTCTGCAGACGTAATCCGTGAAGGATCTGGGGATCAGACCACCCTGGATTGAGGGCGGGCCCCAAATCCGGAGGCAAGTGTCCTCGTGAAAGGAGAGGACACAAGCACACAGCCGGGCGATGGCCCTGGGGCCATGGAGACAGGGACCAGGGTGACGCGGCCAAGAGCCGAAGCACACCCAGGGCCCCCAGAAGCTGGATGAGGCGGGAAGGACCTGCCCCTGGAGCCCCGGGAGGGAACACGGCAGGCCCACAGCTTGACCTCCGGCCTCCAGCCGTCTGCCGCCCTGTGGGCCCATCGGGGCAGCAGCGGGGCGAGGCACCTGCGTCCTGCACAGGGGTGGGCAGGTTGGCCGGGAGGACAGGCCAGGTGCGGGGAGGCCCCGCCCTCCTCGGGTCCTCTCTGTGCACACCTGCGCCCAGGTGCTGCTCCTGTGCGAGGTGCGGGCACCCCTCTCCCACCCCACCCCACCCCACCCCCACCACAGGATGGGGGCAGCCTCCCCACGCTGGTGGACAACCCCAGGGACTGAGACCCATTTGCCCCTGAATCTGGTCCTTCCCGAATACACCGCTGCACCCCACTGCGGGGTCTGCTTCAGGGCCCGGGCCGCGGCAGGCAGCTTCACGAGGACCCCCTGGGCCTGGGCCACCTGCTCCAGGGGGACCGGTGGTGCTGGGGACCCTGGACACGGGCCTCTTCCCTAAGAGCTTTCTGTGTGTTCTGAGGGGCCGAGCGCTTGCCCAGGTGGAAAAGGAAGGTGAGCCGACAGCGCTTTGTCGGGATTTCGTGAAGGTCCAGAGGTTGTTTCTCACCGCCCTAAGAAGAACAACGGACACATCACTCTCCTCAGCTCGGTGGTGCCCGCTCAGCCTCCGCTGGGTTCAAACCCCGGCAGGGGCAGCCGGAGGAGCTGCAGGGCCAAGGAGGTGGTCTGTCTCCCTGAGGCGGGGGCGGTCAGCAGGGGGCGGCCTGGCAGGTCCCCCAGCAGACAGGCTGTCTAGACCAGCACAGCTGACCCCGCTGTCCTCCTCCTCGGAGCCCAGAGCCAGGGGCCACCCCCCTCCCTGGGAAAGGGGAACCACCTGAGCCGTTACACAGATAAGGAGACGGAAGCCCCTGTGAGGTTACGCAGGGCGGGCGATTGCCCGCATCAGGGCCGGTGCTCTACCTCCCCTGTCCCCTGTGGAGGCCCACCCCACCCTGCAGGCAAGACACTCCCCCTGAGACAGCCGCAGGGCGGGTGGGTGGTGAGCCTGGGTGGGGCCCAGGGCCCCAGGGCTCAGGGCTGCTCAGGAGGTTCCTGTCCGGTCCCCCAGATTTTCCCATCGCCCTAGAAAGAGGCGAGCTGAGTCTGCAATCCTCATACCAATTTTCTGAGCTCCTTCCTTCTCCGAGGACCCCCTGATCCGAACGCCCAGAGACTCGGGACCTGGCAGGCAGGCGGCTCTATCTATCAGCCGCTGACTTTCCCCGGCCCGGCCCACAGCGCTTCTATCTTTTCTTTCTGTTGCAATGCTGGTTATGACACCAGAAATTGCTGTCATCTGTGGGGGACATCGCAATAACTCAGACTGAGGCCCAGCGACCGGGCTGGGCTGTGGTCAGCCCTGGGGAGGCCTTTGCACAGGGAGCCAGGGGCCCTGAAGGGGGTGGGGTCGGGGGAGTGGGCTGCAGCCAACGACGTTCCTGCCGGGAAAGGCAGCCAGCAAGGATCCACCTGCACTCGAAGGGGGTCTGGACGGTGAAAGTCACCATGGGGGTGTCTCCAGGGAGGAGCCGGCCTGCTCACAGGCCCTCAGAGCAGGTGCCTTCCGGGTCACGGGGGTCACTGCAGTGCAGTGGACTTGTGGCTCTGGAGCCCCGAATTTGGCTTCTGGTCCAGACTCTGTCACTTATACATCAGTGTGCGGTTGGTTGGTCGGTTAACTTCTCCGAGCCTCTGCTGCCTCCTCTGGGAGGATACTCTGTAGCTATTCCAGAGGAAATGTGTGTTTTAATCCAGGTGAAACTGACACAGGTGAAACTGACATGACAAATGACACCATTTTAAAGTGAGCAATTCACGGTCATTTAGCACATTCACAATGTTGTGCAAACACTGACTCTATCTGGTTCCCCAAACATTTCACCACCCCAAAAGGGGGACCAGGTCCCCATTCCCCCGCTGTTCTCCTTTTTCCTCCTCCACCCCAGTTCCCCTAGCTGAGGCCCTCACCCGCTCCTCCGCCTGTCCGGGGCTCACCAAACAGTTTTGTACAAAGGCTTTCATGGTGTGGGATTCTGGCTCTTGGTAGCCTGAACCCCCATTTAACTCAAATCTGCCTTTACCAACCCTCCCAGGCACCGGAGAACTTGCAGGGAGACTAAAACCTGCAGCTCACGCTGCCCCACAAAGAGCCTGGCTGAGAACTCTGGCTCCTATTAGACACGGAATTGTGTTCCCTGTGTGCCCCTCTTATGTGACCCCGAGCCCTTTTATCTTACCAGAGGCACCCATGCCTCTCTGTGCCCCATTCCAGGGTGGTCTGGCAATGGCTGACCTCGCAGAAATGCTAACTGAGCATCTCCAACCCAGGCTTGCTGGGTGAACAATCTGTACTACTTCTTCCCGAGGAGCTAAATCTCGGATGGAGAAGTTACATTTTATATATTGTTTAATGGAGGTGTAATTTACATAGGACAAAATGTATCCTTGTCAGCCTGAGTCCTGGCTAACCTGTAGCCACAGAGCCACCCTCACCACATTCCAGGTACTGATGGTCCCATCGCCTCCAGTTTCCTCACTCCTTTCTTGGCCAAC